GGGGGCTGAGGGCAAAGAAAAGAAAAAAAGGAAAAGAGGAGAGGGAGACTTCTCCAACTTGTGCAAGTAGAGGAGGGAGGAAATTAGGGCTTCCGGTTTATTGCTGGGGCAAAGAGAGGAAGATAAGGATAGAGAAAGGAAGAAGCGGATAGCAGGGGAGAGGTAGAAGACGGTTTGCAGGTGGTCGGGAAATAAAGAGAAGTGACAGAGGGAGAAGAGTTTCTTTCTCCCATTCCTTTCATTTAGTGCACAGAGAGATCTGAGGGGACTTTGGAGAAAACCCCAGCAGCTAGCAAGGCAGGAGAAAACTCCAAGACAGCCATTATTAGCTCATCACTCTTCATGTAATGTTCTTATTCAAAATATCATTTCTGCACTCTTAAGTCGAACCCAGAAATGGACATGTTTAGGTCCCTGCCTGGGTGAATGAAATGCTGTTATGATGTTTTAGTAGTTCGAACCCTCACATTATTGCTCTTGCTTTTTTCTCTTAATGGTGTCTCCTTTACTATAAAGAAATAATATATTCTAGATTATTAAATGCTGAAATATATGATATTGTTACGCTTGACCATCTTGTTGATCAATAGATCTGTTGCATAGAATCTCTTCGAGAAAATGCCAAGAACGCTTCATTCTTTATTTGAGTAATATATACTAGCCTGATTCTGGGTCGTTGATTTTGGGTTTGGTTTGAGAACTAAATATTACCTTGTAGTTAGCTTCATACTGTAAGGACTCCTTAACTTCGGTACCTTTTTATTTTGGTATCCTTTAATTGTTACTTCAATATCCTGTACCTAAGTCCAGGTTTAGTATTGTTGTTGTTGTTTTTTTTTGTTTTTGTTTTTGTTTAAAGCTAAATCAGTAGGGTATAATTGAGTCGTTTACCAGATAATCCTCGCACTAAATCATGAAGGTCTCCAAGTCTTTGGGTATGTGAATCTGACATCAGTTAATCTAGGGTCATGATGTGGTTTACTCGGGAAGATTTCATTTAGGTTTCTAGTCTTTTTAATGATAAATCTTGAATTGTGGATGGTGAGTCCCATTGAATGATGTTCTAAAGGTCCTTGGATTAGTTAATTCCTTGTGCTTTATCTTTCTTATTTTTATTTTTTTCCTTTGGAAATGATAGTATTAACCAAGAAGTTTGAAATTGATTTGGGGTCCTTGCCTAAGTCCTTAATAGTTCTGAAAATTGCTTATTTAAAAAAAAAAATAGTTCTGAAAATTGCACTATGTTAGGATCCTAAAAGCATTATGTGAGCAGTGATTTCTTTGATATTTAACCTGTGTTGTCCATTTATTCTGTATTTTCCTTTTGGACTGAGGTCTTCATGCAATGATGCATATCTTGGTTTACCAGAACTTCTTATGTATAGATAAAGCTAAGACTAAAAAGTAGTGATGTCTCTGCTGGCTACGTTGTGCATACTGCCTCATGAATGAATGGATGAATGATTTATTGTTAAGTGGTGGTAGCAGAAAAGTGGGAGTTAGTTTTGTTATTTAGAGACCTAGGCAGAGCCTTTTATTTGAGTGCTGTGCATACTGCCTTGTGAATGAATGATGTATTAGATTGCGTGTTGTCCCAAAATCATTAATCTGGGAAGTGCCGAGACAGATCTTTTCTATGAGCATAAGAAATATGGTTTCAAGAAAAGATGAGGATTGCTGTGTAACGAATCTGCAGCAAATGTTCTTAACTTCTGCAGTAAAATTCCAAACTTAGAGATCTCTAATTCAAATGTGAGTGACTTCTTTTAGGCATTTTTATTAATGGTTATTGTTGTGATTTGTGAATGATGATAAATGTGATAGTGACCGAACCATCTTCCCTGTCAATAATGAAGGGACTATTTATAGTCTAGCTGATTTCGTCATACTTGAGTTGTCTCTGTAGTTCTTCATATCCCTGCTGTTTATTGCAATAGATATCACGATGAAAATATTATGGTGAATGGACTTATTGTCTGCCTTATCTGCTTTGCTGGTTGCAGTTTTATTTCATTGTACCAAAATGAAGCTTATTGTTGGTGTTTAGTTTCCTCCTCTTTTCTTTTTGGTGGACAGGAAGATATCCTTCCTTGCTGCCATTGATTGTCCGTAGTCAACTCACTACCACCTTGTGGCACAAAAATGCTCTCAACAGAAGATACCACAATTACTTCGACATTGCTGGATAAAGAGCGTGTGTCGATCCATTATTGGGTAAGAGAAAATGCTCTCTTGAACTATGCATTCTATACATAGATTTTATTTTTTATGGGTTTAAAACCCATTATGCAGAAGCTCAAAGCCAATGAAAGCTGGCTGGTACAAAGACCTGAATCTCCATCATCCATGATGACAAGGAGGGGGATATAATCGAAAGGCCATTGGTTTTGCTTGTTATTCTTAGATGAATTGTTTCATTGACTAGTCCATAGCATGTAATCTTGCTTTAGTGGTTGCACTGCAACTGCACTCAACATGACTGTACCAAAAGCTTTATATGTTGATTGTTTCTGTAAGTGGAGGGAAAGGAGCCATAGATGACTGACCTTGACTTTCTATACACAGAGACATCCACTTATACTGGTTATGATTTATGATGCAACTGTTGCTTGCCATTGTTAAGGAACATTGCTCTTGGCATTTATGGTTTTTACCCATGGAAAACCCTGTCCATTCAATCTCATGGGCTATAATTTGGTAACTTTTTATACAGCTGTTAGTGTCTGACGTTCGGTACCGGAATTTGGTAAAAAAAAAAAAAATTAATTTGTAAATAATTATAGTAGAAACTATCATTTTTGGGTGTATGCACCCGGTTCTTAACAATAGTACATAGATAAATGTCACGGGCTATAATTTGGTTGGAATAATTAATTAACTCCTATAAATTTGTTTTTAACACAAAATATTTAAACGTAATTAATTAGTAAAAAACAAAAAAAATTAAATACAAAACGACGAAAGCTTAGCATCGAAATAAGATATTTCCCTTTCTGATAAAGCAACGAAAATCTACCCCTACGTTGACCAATGGAATTGAATTCAGGAGCGGAAACGTGGCATCCACGACCACCAATCAGTCAACTATCAACATCCAACCCACTATTCGACACGTGGCTTGCGCATAACACCGTCCTCTCTCCTCTCCATAAATAGAGCTGTCGCTTTAGTTCGTCTCTCATTTATTTTTGCACCCTCCTCCTCACAGACCAGAAATTCAAAATTCAAGTTTCAGAGATGAGCTTCGGAGTTCGACTCAGCTTGTGCCTCTTGTTTATCTTCGCGATTATTTCTTCTTCTTCGGCAGCTCGGACCATCTCTTCACTTTCAGGTGCCTACTCACATTTCTGCGTATATATATATACATATGTATATGCTTTGTTAATGCTGCATGTAATACATACATACATACATACATGTAGGTATATAAACACGTATTTTTTCATTTTGTTTTACTGTAGATCTGTCTTGATTTTCTTTCTTCTGAACATATAATATATATATATATATATATGTTTGTGTATATGCATCAACATGATCATAATTAGTTTATAAGAAAAATGCAAAGGCGCAAGTCCGATCCGTATGTATATACTTATGTATTCATCTATGTGAAATCTTCTTGAGTATGTCTGTGTATATATATATATATAGCTGATAAATGAATCGTTAAGAGTTAAACTATAATCATAAAACTAAATAAACGCATTAATTAATCATGTATTTTCTATTAACTTGTTGTATTCTTATAGTTGAAATAAAGCTATTAATCTCAAAGTTAAAGAGCTTTAAAATTATGTTCGAAATTACATACCGGTAAATTTTATTTATAAAAATGATTTAAATTTTACATTTATAAGAAATACATATTATTTTTAAAAAATAATAAAATATTTATTTTAATAAAAATGTAAAATTTTAAATATTTTTACACAAAAAAATTATAAGTAAAAATCATTTAATACAACCGTAGACCCAGAGTTAACGATGATAATTACAGCTGGACTCTATGTACCACATTGCATGCGCGCATTTATGTTCATTAATCGTTAGTAATGAACTTAATTATTTGATTAATCATAATTATATATTCCCACTATTTAAAAATTGGTCGAATTAATTAATTAAATCGCTGGATTCTACAGTTTGCTTACTGTACTAGCTACTTAAACATTTTGTTTTGTTATTATTATTTCCCTATTAATACTAAATAGATGTAAATATTATATATAGTTGACTAAGAATATTTTATATTATTACGATTAATCTTGCTTTTAACTTTTACTATCAATTTCTTAATCTAATAAGTTGTTTTCATTTAATCGTGGGCTTGCTTTTAATTAGATTTTCAAATAGTTATTTTTGACACTTTTTTTTTAAAAAAATTCTTAATATTGAGTTTTATAATATTAATATATTAATACGTTTGATAAAAACTGTAAATTAAATGTAAAATCTTGTACGTAATTTATATACACATGGCTTGCATATATATTGAATAATTTGACATAAAATTAAATGATTCTGAGGTAGGTATGGAGGGAGGAAGGTTTGTAATGGCGGTGAACACCGATGATTACAATGAACCGTCGGCCAACCACGGTCATGATCCTCCGGCACCCCCTACAAAGCCCAAAATTGGAGCTGGCGGTGGCAGGAAAGGCTAATATATATATATATATGTGTGTGTGTGATGAGTTTCTGAAATAATTCCTAATTGGTATGTGCCTATTTTATGCATCGTTGTATGTCATTGGTTTTCTTTTGTTCTTTAGTCACATATATATGGAGATATATATATATATAACACTATTGCAGGAGCTTCATTTATAATTTAAGGTGGGTTAATACTTAATAATCATATTAACTTATTGTTTTTTAAAGATAAATTACTTTTTGGAAACCAATGGAATAATGAAAAATTAATATAATGAGCAATTTCATCTACGTCTAATTTATCCATTTACTTCTTCGTTAAATTCTAATATTACTTGTAATTACCCCATACTTCTAGTATTAAAATATTCATACTTACTCCTTCCTGCCTTTTAAAAAAAAAAAAAAAAAATTTGAAGTAATGTTAAATGTTAACATTTAAATGTCGAGAAAAATAGAATAACTTCAAAAACTATTCATTAAAGAAATTAAATACATGAATTTAAAAAAATAAAGCAAAATAATAATAAATTTAATAATAAAAATATTTATTTGTCGTGTCTCCAGACTGAACCAGAGTCGTACAAAGCAAAATACTTCTTCTTCCTCCCGATCTCCTCCTTTGGTAATTGCTGATCTTTCTTGCCCTTCTCCGCTTCCTGATCAGAGACCACCTCCGTCTTCACTTCTTTTCTAACAGAAGACGTCGTATAGCTGTCTGGAACCTCGACGAGGAGTTTATAAGCATGATCTTGATCTCCATCAAGGTCATCTTCTTCTCCAAACGCAGCGTTTATGAGCAAATACAAATCAAGACCCACTAACTCTGCAGGCGTTTGTGAATATAATGGGTCTTTAACTTTGTCAGTATCCTTTGTTAACTTTAACACCATCTTTTTTAATAGTATTCTTCACAACAAACCCAGAACCAGAACTCGAGTATATATATATATATGTGTGTGTGTGTGTGTTTGGAGACGTAGACTGTAATACTAATTGTTCGACTTCGTCAGCCGATAGAAAAAAAAGCAAAAAAGATGTCGAAGCTGGGGGTTTCTTGTTGAACTTATACAGAATCACTAATTCGGAAACTGATGTGTTAATGATCGAGATAAATTTTTCTGTTGGATGTACATATATATATATATACATTGTGTAAACTTAAACTCCGAATCCAGGCAGAATAGGAAACACAGTCTCCGGATTCGAAAAGGAAATAGAAGTAATGCGCGTCGAACGACGTCGTTTAGCTCCAAGGAACGGGCTGCGCTGTTCTCAATTTGGTTGGGCCTTTGATCTAGATCGGCTGTAAGCTGATTTTCGAGTTCGTCTTGGCAAGGTAGGTTTTCTTAAGAATCAAGGCCTTATAGATGAATTTGGATTTTGTGTTTAAAATAAATTTGGACCATCAAAATGAATACTTGCGTAAAATATATCTACAATGGAATGAAATATTTGGCCTTATTACTTTGATTTTAAGGACAAAAATAAACCATATACTATTATTATTAAAAAATTTTCATCTTCATAATATTTTTAAAAATTAAAAATTAAAAACATCTATATTTATGTATTTCAAAAAATAAATATTTTTATCTTATTCTAAAGTTCAGAATATTTCAAAAATTTATTTTTAAATTGATTTTAAAAATGAATAATTTTTATCAACATTGAGATTTGGCCGCTATAATTATTTTGAAGATCAACAATTAATATTTAATTATAAAAATTTTAAATATTAGTATTTATGTTTTACTTCTGTAATATTCTTTTTTTGTTATTCTAAAATTCTTCAAATTTTAGAAACTTATATTTTGTATAATTTTAATATAAATATATCTTTATTTTTTTACCTTTAAAAGTAAATAAATATATACATATTATGTTTGACTTGATTTGATTTCTATTCTAATACCCGGACAT